TCAAGGTTGATTTCCTCTAAGATTGACTGGTTTGACCTCCTAGCAGTCCAGGGGACATGAGATGAATTATCTTACTGCAAATGCCACACCCAGGGAACTTCATGGTAGGACTTCTACTGAAGACCCACTCTGCTGAAGATCCCAGCTGGATCCAATTTATTTCTTGCCTCCCCAGGTCTTTATGTACAGGAATGGCATCCACCCAGTGTTATTGGTGACTTCTTAGCACTGGCTTCTTGGGGAGAGGCCAGGTCATTTTGCAGAAGAATGCCTGACCCAAAGCTTGTGTGACAGTGCTTAGCTTCAGCTTTCCGCTCTGCAGGAGGTGATTTCAAAATGTGTTTCCAGCTGACGTAAGGAAATGAGAGGAAAGTTCATCTTGATAGAGGCTTTGATCCTTCTTTTGGGAAAAGGGGGGGGGGTGTCCATGGGAAGCAGAGGAGGGTTATTGCTGCACTGAGAGCTGGCAGCTAGAAGAAACAGGAAGTCTGAGACCTTCTCTTTGCAGCAAACTGGTGCCGGCTGTGCCTGCAAACATTTTCCCTCGGTAAGTTGAGGCTCTTCCAGCAAGCTCAGCTTATCGGGTGAAAAACAAGGCTTTGCCTGCTGGTGTGTGTTTGTGTGTGACCAGTTCTTGCTGGCTCTTTATGCAGACCGACTGATGTTATTTGTGCTCCGTTTCTCCATTTGCATCACTCTGTTCCCACAACCACCAGGACGGCTGAAGCGTTAGTAGAAGCATTTGCAAAACAGGCTAAGCTTGGTTAGGTATTAACTTTGGTTAATTTGGGGGGTAACTTTACTTTTTATGCAAACCTATCCTGTTTGGTTTATGCTTCAATGTACTCTGCCAACCCAGCAAATGTGAAATTCAGGATCCGGGTTAAATGTGTCATGTAAACACAGCTACTAAGTGATCCATAACTTATGTTCCATGAGACTTGGATATCAAGCTCCTAAGTTCCCATTGCCAGCTTCTTCTTTCTTAGGGGAGCATTTGCCCCCACCCCACCCCACCCCCAAAAAGAGGAGCCCTCCTTATCTCCTATAGGAGGGACAAAAGTCTGGCATTTTAAAGGGTGCAGCTTGCAAGATTTACCCCGCTGATCTGACACAGCTGAGCGATGTAGACCTTAGCAGATGCTGCAGAAGAAAGGTTGGAAACCTTCACGGCTGGAAAAAAGATCTCACTGTGCCTCACGAGAAGAGCTCAGTTCAGAAGCTGGAGAAAATGAAAAGATTTCTCTCTCTTGGCAGAGCCTCCTCCCTCCCTCTTGGTCTGACGGGAACAAAGGGTGGCATTTCACTGAGCAACTGTCTAAAAGCTCTTTGCCAGCTGGATTCCTCCAGTTTTCTTGGTTCCTCTTCCCCAAAGAGCAGATGTCCAAGGAACAAGAACTGGCTTTGAGGGCAACCCAATTCTGCTCAGTCCCAGGCCTTGCTCACCTGCCATACACTACCCTTTGTCAACCAGGTGCCCACCAAATTGGGGGCGCAGCTCCCAGAACTCCAGACCGAGAAAGGTTGGCATCAATTCCCAGGAAAATGCAGGGAGAGAGTGGGAGAAAGGTCCAACTACTTGGTCCTCTAAGCATGTTGGGCAAATCTTTTATAC